TGTCCCACACCCTCCGCCCTCACTCGCGCCCACAGAGATGTCACCGAGAGTATAAGTCAGTTATTGACTATCTGCACGACCGGTGTCACACCGGATCAACGAGATTGTGAAGTGGCCTTACGACGTCTAGAAGCATTGCGTCCATTATTGGAGAATCCTAATCGTCCGGTGAACCAACAGGCCTACTACGACTGTGTCGACTCAGTGGCCAAAAGCCTGTCGGTGAGTTCATTGATATCTGATCGCGTTTTTGGGTGATATAGTTCTGTTTGGTAGTTGTTTTGATTCACTCTAGTATGCCCCCTCCTCGTGGACGCCTCAGTCTGGATTGCTTCTCAGATTCATCTCGGACCAGTTTTTGATATATAATCGTGCATCACAGATACCTAATGGACAGAATCGGTTTAATTCTGTGGGCTTCAACTGGTGAACGTATTTGTGCTTGGGATCATATACGCTGACCGTTTGGAACCTTTTATAGTCGTCCATCTCTGACTAATACCATTTTCTCTTCTCCTTTTTACAAACACATGTAATTGCATGGTTTTTACTATATAGAAGGGAGGAACTCTTTCTGTCCCAAGAGGGGGTTTCTTATGTGGTGAGAATGACTGATTTTCTTGATTGAATCACCCAAAGTTCCAACTTTTTCTACTACATAGATTAGGGCGGTGATCCATGAAAGTCATTCCCGTATCCCCTGGAGTTAATTGTTTGTTTAAGGGAATGGCGCAGTAGTTTAGTCGCTGTCACTGGCGTGCTTTGGACTCTGTGGTTCCAGCTTCGCCACCGTCACCCAACTTTGATGGTAGACAGCTTTGCTGTCGCCCGGTTCTATACCACACCTGACTTAGTGGGGCATTATGTGGTTCGCCGCTGCAAGTCCCGGGCTTATGTTGCCGGTTACCATCATTGAACAGCAGGTCTTCGTGATTATGTGGTGCAACCCCGTCTGCTGTCCATCACACACCGGTGTGTAATTAAAAAAATCTCACCCCTGAGGTTGAAAATCGAGGACCGTAAACAGCCACATTAGACTGTGGATAACCAAGCCCGAAATGACAGTCCTCGCCCTGGAGTTGCCGTAATACTGCCATCCAGCAGCGACATCGCGAGTCTCTGATTCTAGCCGGTTCTATTCCGGACTGTTATTTTTTCTTCTCTCTCTTACTCTCTTGATCAACAAACTAGCACTTGTGTGGCGTTGACCTGTTTTTTTACATGTTTATAAAATTGTCTCGTACTAGAGTTGAATCGCAAAATTGTTTTGTTACCAATCACGTGATTCCAAGAAAAATGGGAGGGATTAAACTGAAATAGTACCACAGGAAGGTGTAAAACAGCTGATAGAAAAAGTAACGGAATGGGGTTTAGAGTAGGTATTCAGTGTCATAACAATGGGAAAATGAATGAAAGTTTCAATGGGTTGTGAACTGATCATGTTTTCCCTGACCGAGTACCGTGCTGGAGGAGGATTAGCATCACAGGGCGAGATTTTCGAAGTTAGCGATCTCGATCACAAAATTAAACTTTCCCGGTATCTTCGGGACGTGTTACTGAGACATGAGTTCTGATCGATCGACGGTAAGTGGAACTAGGCCTTGAAAGCCACGATTCGGTTCGTAATAGGGTGATTTGTATTCACAGCCGATGTACACTCGTATTTGTAGAGGATACAACAGTACAATGCTGCTGCCGTGTAATTTTCCTCTCTCAAACCTCTAACCGATAACTCTCTGAAACTGGGAACATTCCATTACTTATCAAACTCGTCGTCTTCCGTCTAGGATGCCAACGGCTGATGAAATTCTAGCAACTATTCACTGTAGAGAAGTTCGCAGTGAAAAGAGAGATACACATGATGGATATCGAGACCCTTTGGATGCGTGAGTTTATGTATGAGTCCCGGAAGCGGTATCCGTGTGCTCGTTCTACTCGTTCTTCGGACAACGGATCAATGTTGTCTCGTTTCCACTTTGTGGGTATAAATTTAGCCTTGGTTATATTTGACCCAGCCTCTTGTCTGTACCAAATCGGGGCGGAAAGACCGATTCGGCAGTTGATCACGTGTTCGTATACGAGAGAGAGGAGGGGCTAGTGGATACATCCTCTTCGTTTGTTTGCTGACCCTGGCGAATATGCACATCCAGATGGGCGCAATTACACGTGCGCGCGAAAACACACTACATGCATCAGTTCTGGTCTCTCTCTTGTAGATCTGTGCTTTCACTATGTTAGAACGAAGTCGAATAGCCGCTCCTCGTGTCGCATTTGACTGGCACCGTCTAACAGTTTACTCGTTACATAACAGACACGATTATCGCAGCGCGTAGTCCCACTGGGTGAAGTGACTTAATGTTGCAAGTATGCCTATGTGTGTGTACAACATTTGATCGACTCTCGACTGTGGGTTGTTGTCAGTTGTACTATTTGGTTTGGCTTACTTCGCCTAAACTGTGGGAAATTCAGTTATGTGGTGCTGCATGAAACATTACTGTACCATCCGTCTCGTCTGTTCCGTATTTCGCTCTGTGCGGGCCATCAACGGTGCGATTGAATTTGTCACTATCCCGTGTTTACTCGCTTGACTGCTTGTTCATGGTTGTTCGCGCTCCTTCAGGTTAGCCATGGTAAAGTGTGTAGTACTGTTTTTGGGTTGCACGCGAACGAGAACCGCTTTGCACGGTTTCTTCCGCTTCCGGGATTTTTGCGAAAGATTGTACAAACAGTTGCCGTTTGCCAAATGTTTTTTCTTCTACCAGTGAACCACAAACCGGAAGCAGATACACGATTTAAAACAGCTATTGGGGGGTCGTGTTTGCAACAATTTGTTGATGGGTTTGGGGTTGTATCTGCTCACTGGTCATATTCAAGAATCTGGTGCTTGACTTCTTGTGGGTTGTTGAACCGTGTGATCGTACGCGAGAGAAAGTAGTAGATGTTGATTGAAGTCCTAGGTTGAATCAAACCCGGAGTAGGCGGGTTCGCTTTTTATCAAATATTATTCATCGGCATCATCATCATTGTACAGCGAGATACAGTGAAGCGAACTTTACTGATCGCTGCCGAGCTCATAATGTGCACAAAGTAAATGATAAAGTACATGCTGGAGATGGATTGAGCCCAATCGGAGGGTGGAAAAGAAAAAGAATCTCTATGGTCAATACACTGAATGCGAAACCTAACTTTTCATGCATACCTTCTCAAGCATTTTGATCTGATAAGAAATGACAGCAAAGACGCCACTGCTGTCGGCTACTCGCCATATCCTTCAGTGTCTGCAACTCACCAGTTGCAAAGTCCTTCGGACCCCAACCTGGAAGACGGGAGACACTCACTCTAACATTCTTTTATACCTCGTTCCCACGTCATATGTTGACCTCCACGCGGTTTCTTCCAACCGGGAGCCACAACTGCGTATAGGGCACGGTGCGCGAGACGATGGCTGGGCATGTGCAACACGTGTCCTTACCGGTGAGGTCGACTATTTTGAATTCGATAGGACAATGAATTCTCCATGGAACCAAATACACGACGGCCCACTTCAGAGTTGCTTACACGTTCGATCCATCCAGTCCGCGTCAAAGTACGCAAACGTCTGCAGTCGAATACTTCTAGACGACGAATATCTTCTACGGGCAAATTCAGGGTCTCGCAATCGTAAAGCAGAACTAACCGCACACTTGCGCAGTATGCACGATCTTTCACTTTCAAGGAAACACCATCAAAGGTGTTTCAGTCCTGCGTAAGCTGCTCGTGCCTGGAAAATGCAGATGATTAATTTCTTGATCATACTTTCATCATTTGTCTCGCAACTACCTAGGTAGGCGAAGTATTGCCCTAAAGCTAATTCTTGACTATCCAGCATCGAAGCCTGCGTAAACGACACCCAATCTTGTAGCATCACTTCGCACTTTAAAGGCTCAAAGCTCATACCGAATGAAGTTACAGAAATTGAAATTCTGTCAAAAACGCTTTAAAAATCCTCCATACATTCGAACAGTTCACTTCAGTTTGTAAAACCATTAACCATGCACTATCGTGCGCCGGTTTTAGTTGCTGTCTTTTGACTGCCCATTTGGATGAACAGGAAGGGTTGAAAGTCGAATCAAAGAGAAAATTTAGAATTTCAGTGCACTAATCCTGGAGATAAATTGACAAAATGCACGAACGCCACTGTTTACGACACTCAGCCATGTCACTCAGTTAATCTAACCGTCGGGTATGATCATCCCGAGGTCCCCATCCAGGGAGCCTAACGGAACCTATGTGACCCAGTGTCCTGGTTAGGGTTTTCATTCCCTCATGCCAGGTCGTAGCTTGACCACTCTTGGCTTTCATCCACCCACTAGCTGCCTCGGCGAACATCTCTCACCTTGGCAACCTATTTGGTAACATGCGTAACACATGCCCCAACCAACATAATCTATGAAGGTCTACCATTTGCTCCAGTGGGCGACCGCAAATACCTAAACTCTTCGCCTAAGCTCAGCATTGCTCGTCCGGCTGCCCCACCAGATTCNCTGCGTAGACTGCGGTGATCAAACACAGGCAGTTTATCTTTATCCTGTTTTCTTAATGGCCAAGTTTCTGCTCCATATAGCAGAACTGGACGAACTGCCGCAGCATACACTCGACCCTTAACAGACCGGATGTCGCGAAGGCGCCACAGATGTCTCAGGTTAGCAAATACCAACCGAGTCTTCGAATAGATAGATTACATTATNCCTCGGCTGTCTATTCCAGTGATGTCTCTATCGTATTCGTTCGCTTACCAGAAGTGTCCGGCACCAGTTCCTCTTATTCGTGTCAATTGTTTCCACCTACCCGATGATTACACTTGGACTGTTTTCATGTAAAGAACAATATTAACGAAACTCTTGTTATAGCATGAATTAGGATTATCGATCTTGCTTTATTGCCACCACCCCCCCCCCTGTCCCCAACTCGCGAAGCTGCCAACCCACAGATGTTGTTTACTTTTAGACCGCAACCTATCTGAACTCGGAAAACAAAGCATTTTTTTCAATTTCACCGAGCGAGCGAACTCTGTCAAGCTCCGATCTAATCGTGGGCGGTCATTGTATCTAATACCACGGAGCTAGAGACAGATAGACAGACATTCGGAGTGAGATGAATGAATGAATGAATGGATGGACACGTTCCCATATACATGTGCATCGAGATTTATTTCGAAAATCTATATGCGGATAGTTGTTACGGGTAATCGTCGCACAACTGTTTATTGATTTTATACTGCCTTCTTTCTCTCTCACGCGTAATCTGTCTCTGTCTGTCAATCCTTATTTATAACGGATAAGCTGAACAGGGCTGTTTCGTTTACAGTCCTCTCGATCGCTCTCTGAGGAACTTAGGGTCGGGTCATTTGAGGGCGATCTGAACAGATCATCTCATACCGACTGCATGTGAACCGGTATATCTGAGGTGGCACACACTCTGATCTATTATCCCGTAAATGTACACACATCGGCATAATCCGATTCCTGGTTTTGAATCCATCGGTGATGATTAGGTTCCGGATCAGCCCTACATGGAAATATACTGGACCTGTTTCAGGAGGAATCTTCAGATCAATGATTCCCAGTCGAACGAGTTTGTTTGTTCAGGATGCAAACTATTCATTTTCCATCCATCAAAACCAATCGAATCTAAATGGTTCCCTGGGGAAAACGGTGACAGCACACTTCTAATGCGTACCTTCCCTTTAGTCCAGCCCTGATGATGAAAGTGAAACAAAACGGATCTTAGTTAACCCCGTAATCGCATCGATCTGTTTAGTGATAGTGAATTTTGACTGTTTGGATGGCTTAACTTAAGAAACAAATCATTGCGGTTTGAGTCACCCTAAACCGCTTATCGCGTTACGGCCACCCACCCCCTCCCCGCACACACACACCAACGAGAGCTCAGTGGCCAATAAAGACCGAAAATCTAAGACATGCCCTATGAATATATTGGAGTTAAATATGCTACCTGTCCTCATCATTCCATCTGTCAAGAGTCATGTGATTACGGCAGTATCAAATGGCACGGGTCATCATGATGGACGAGCCTGAAGCTAGGCACGAAAGAAACTTTTGATACACTTTCCTCTCTCCTTTCTGCGTGGGATGAGTATATGCATATTACCACATGAATTCATCTCTTTATGCATTTCTTAACATCACCAATCCCGCACAGTCATACGCTTTATTTTCCTTCCGTTTGATTTTTGGCCGTCTTCCTTTGTTCCCGCCCTGATCTCTTTTCATTCCATCCATATTAAGTCACAGTCACGAGTGAGCGGTAGTGTGGAATCGGTGGTGACCAAGTGATCAGGTCACCAACTAGTGACCTGGGTGTCCCGGGTTCAAACCGCTCCACCGCCACCCATCTTTCCTATGTCTGTATTTTCTCCAGGCAGCCTTTGTATGGCCGTAGCCCCCTTCCTGAAAGTCGACTGTACATCTGTATATTCAATGAATAGAAAAAGGTAATAAGACATTTCATTTCATTCTTACTTATTTTGACCGACCATCTTTCGGATTTTGTTGTTATACACCATTCTCAGTTCATCCACGTGAAAAACTAGGATGCATTGGACAATTTTTTCGGCCTAGTTGAGTCTCGTCAACAGTAAAAGCTCACCGATCCGATTTGGGATTGAACCGGAGACCCCATATCAGCGTAAAACTGTGGCACGTGAACTTGGTTTCATAACCCTTCTCATGGTTCTCTGCAGAGATCCACAGAACTAATCTACTTAGCTTTTCTGTTGTCTTGTACCTCGTTCATTATCTCACGCTAAATTTTTTCTCGTTGGACTACTGAGTGACAGTCCCCAAAGCCGGAGCGCTGATGTTTGACGGTATTGTGCATGTCGGTTAAACTAAACCCACTGAACACATCGAATTCAGTTAGCGGCGGAATCTGTCGATACAGTTGCCTGATTTTTTCTGTATCCTCCCATATGTACTTTTGCGCAGGTGTTTTTCATCTTCTCTGTCTCTTTCCTGGTGTCCCACTGCCGTGCGTGTTCAGACGTGTTTTTGCTCCTATTAATTAATTGTCTCAACATATAGCTTTTTACTTTCCTCCTATCCAGCCGTACATCATTTTCATTGAGGTCTACAACCCAGGTCTAACATGCTACCTCATGTCCGTACAATTAGTCGGTTCTCCTAACCCTAAGAGCTCTTCAGCTCGTTCCACTCTGATGTGTGTGCATGGTTAATTAACGGATCGCAGTGCTTTTTTGTGGCATATTTGATAGAGATACCTCCAAAACTTCATTTCCCAGCTTCTCGTAATGCCGTGTAATTTTCATACATGGAATGCTTGCTGTAGATTGTGTCCTGAAAACGGTCCTCATTATTTATAACCAGAAGACCGGTTGTCAAATTCTGTCTATTTGTGACTACAAGTGAGAGTTTCACACACCGGAATTAGAGACACACTTGTAGAACTTGGAGCTTGGTGGAGTCACCTAGTATTTGTAGGGGGAGTTATCAATGGTTAGGCATAGTCACTGGACTGTTTGCCATATGTCGATCTCGTCATCTATTTCCTTCGTTTTCTTTGAATTTTGACTATTGCCCTCGTTGAATCTTCACTTTTAATCCCGTTTCGAGCCGCTTTTGGCTTGTTCTTTTTGATTATGCTTTTTAATTTGAAAGTATTAGTTTCTCTAAAACTAACACGGTAACTTTAGGAACCGTCGATCCATGCTCACAAAATCTGGATCTAACACCATTTATAGCATAGTCTTTCTTTCTATTTAGCATGTATAGAACAACTGTTCTCAGCGATCCGTGTGACTTATGCTTCTTTTTCGGATCTGTGTTTTATTCATTTTTCGGAACGCTAGATGCGTTACGAATATCGAACGATCCGAATAGTTTGACTGATTCATTCCATTTTAAATTCGTGGATTTTTACTCCGTATATAAAATAGTTTTGCATCCTCCTTATCGATAAGCCACCTTTCTTTTTTGGTTATAATACATTCTATATCTCAATACATTCCTTTCTGAGCACACAAAACGAGTAGATTTTCGAATCCTGATAGTGATTTTTTAATTTTGTTTCGTTGGATGATTATTGTCGAAAAGTGCTTTTCTTATTTTCTTATTCCCTTCCTCCTATTCCATTAAATATTTCACTTTCAGTAGGAGTTGTGTAGATCATCCCTTTTAATCACTCTCGGTAAAAACAAGATATAATCGGAGAAGTTCTGCGGAACTGTTTTTAGTTCATCGGTGTGTGGTTTTGACCGTTTTCATGATTTGCCATTATCTCGATCTGTTCGTCTTGACGGTCAACTGGGACGGTTTATTGCTATACAACTTTGCACTACTGGCTAATTTGCGAGTAGAAACCAATAAGTGAAATAAAATTTTCATCTTCAAACTCATTCAACATGTAAGCTAAACGGAGCACCGTCTGACCTAGAGGAAGCGATGCAGTTAAGTCATATTTGTTCCCTCATGCATAGTGAGCACAATTCGTTCATGAGGAAAATCATTGGTGTATATTCTGGCCCCATTAAATGCACTGGTTTGGCTGAAAGCTTTTATATAACTCGCTAAAGCTTCAATACAATACATTATAAACCTTACGGAAACTGTGGTAAGGCCATAAATTCAAAAAGTCTCTTGTTCTTCATCGCAGTTTTCTCTAACGATTGAAAATTTTTGGAGTTTCGCATGGCTTCAAACATCGCGTTTTGGTGTTTCTGTTGCATTTGCCCACATGGAACAGTTCACTTATCCCCTGTATTTTGTGTTTTCTTTCCTTGTCCCTCATCCGACAACATTCCACTGTTAGCCATTGGCCGATAGCTTGCGAAATATGTCCAACTCGGCCAGGGAACAACAAACTCAAGAATTCGGTTCGGCCGTCCGCCTGTGTGCCAACTCTATGTGTCAATTAGTTGAGGAAACCGCACAGGTAAGTGTAATGCCGACGCACGCCTCCGTTTTCTTATTCACTAACCTGCATTGTGTTGAATAAAGTATTAGCCTCCAGTGTTGCATCTTTCCAACAAAAAGAAACAATGGAATTGATGCAGTTCAGAAAAGAGTGATCTTGACATACAACCAATACTCGTTTGGTTGCCATGTAAATCTCTGAAGGGACATTTGGGAGGGGGGAAGAGAGTTCCTTTTGTCATCGGATGGTTCAATCCCATCTGAATTAGTGTACTATCCAAACAATGTGCTACACTGTGTAAGGTATCACAATCCCTCCCGACAGGTGATTTTCGTATTGGCAATTGTTATGTGTAGAGAATGCTCTTTCGATCGAATCTGGACAAAATAACGACCACTTGTAATGAAAATTGGTAGTCACAGCAGGTACACTTATTTAAGCAATATAGTGTTTCTTGTGCTGCAGTTTCAAATTCAGGAAGTCATGTACAATTAAACAGAGCATATGGAGGTAATGTTCCCAATGGTTTTTTACCAATATATTAGAGAATGTGGATGTCTCGTAGCTCGTAGATTGTGTTCTCAAAGGACAACCGAAAACAGTAGCATTCTTGTTGACGCTTGTTGTTTGAGCAGTCTGCATTAACCATTCAATCGGGTTCCCTTGCTGTGTGTCGGTCGCACTCGTTCATTCTGCTCTCCTGTCTACAAACAAACTTATTCTTTAATCGCTTGATTTCATTTCACATAACTATTAATGTCACTGGTGATATTGATAAAATAAAACTACTGTCGACTATAGTCTTCTGATCACGTTCCACTGCGTGAACATTTGTAGCGTGTTAGAGTGGGAAATTGACCTTCGCTTCGCTTGGCCAACTGAGTATCACGGTACCACATACAGAGATTTTGAAGTCCCTGTCCACTTAGAGTTATTCCTCTCGTGGATAGTTTCTGCAACCTACGTTTATACTATTCAAAATGAACAAAATCATTGGTTTAACATAGAAATAAATCCATCGCTGTAGGAGTTGAATAACAAATGCACATTATACTCTGCCCGGTTTGTAGAATGTAAAACTGTCTTTTAAACAACTGTCTGTTCCGTTCATGTTTGTTTGAGACACGAAGTCGTTAGCCTTTTTTGTCGGGGTTTTGTAAAGCCTCAATGCAACCGCTTGTTTTAATGAGCAGTGGAATGAAAGATGCGCAGTATCCTCTAAGCTTTCTATTCCACCCATATACAGCAAACCTATATTTTTCCCGGTAGATCGCATCTCCCAAAACCACATTGGTATATTGTCCTCGTTTGAGTTTCTCACTGCTCCCATTCTCTTCTCTCTGTGCCCCACTGTGCACCTGATCCAACCACACAGGCCGCCTATTTGATTGGTCTAGCCGATCCCCGCTCGGAACCGGGCAAACCGTCACTGGTGAACACGCAACTGTTCTTACGCACTCAACAAGAAATCCAGGAGGCTTGTGATGCGATCTGTAGTCCATCTGTGACCAATCGGCAGGTAAATCGCTGCAAACCGGTTTTCCGGTCTTTCGCTCGCATTGATTGTCGACATTCTGGTAATAACGTTTTTTATGGCCTACCTCGGTGTGATGACCAGTAGGCGGAGTGAACCTCGTGGTCGCGAGCATCCATTATTGTTCAATTTTAGCACCCAGTGTCCCAAGCTTTGGAGTAGCGAACTACGTCATGTCCCAATTGATTTTGTCTACGTTTTTTCAAATTTTCCTTTGATACATCTCAAATATATTTCGTAAAATATTCATGGTAGTGGTAGTGCAGTGAAAATGGCAAAGAAAAGGAAGAACGCGAGAAAAATGGAGAATATTTTGTCTGATGTGGTTTTTGGATGATGAGGGCTTCTATGGTCGTCGGTATCTGTTACTTTTTACTTTTACTTTCGAGTGACTAACCCCTGCGTGAGAATAAGTAGGCTTCTTAGATCTCGCTAATGATGGTGGTTTACACGTGGCGATCGTGGGCAAAATTAGCGCAGTATGAGATCCACTTCTGGCCCCAGTTACAGATTAGAGGCCCAATTGTTCCATCTCCGTTTTCATCGTATTGCCCAAGGTTTTCAGTTGGTCGCCAAGACGGAAATGTCGTCCTCGTCAGGTTGAACGAATTAGTGTCTGACGTGAAACTTGAGTGTCGGGCCCCCGAAGCACGTGGTTAAACCACTGAAGGTGCCTGTGTTGTAGAATTTGGGAAATCTTGTCTCTGTTCGAGCAGCGCCATCGAACCTCATCATTGGAAACCGGATCTCCCCAATTTAGTTTTGAGGTTCGAAGTAAGCACCAATGGTTTAAAGACATTGAGCTTCCTTGTATCTTGTACTCTTAGGGGCCATCTTTCACAAACCTATGTAAAGATGGGACGAATGGAAGCCTAATAAGCTCGAAGCTTATTGTGTATGGTTGTTTCACATCGGTTCCACAACGGTCTGATGAGTTGCAGGAATGCTCTACACGAATTTGGAATTCATCCTTAGCCTGACCGTTTGATCTAGTTTTAAAGCCAAGATACTTAAAAATTTGTTGTTGTTCTTTTCGTCTAGCTTCCTGTGAATTGAGAGGGGCTGTGCCTCGGTAGAAGTTTCGGTCGAAAATATTTTTTTCAATGTGCTTATCCCTAGCCCCATTGCCTGAGTAAGCTGGTTGATGTGACTGACCGCAGACCGAAGGTTGTTCACGGTGTCTGAAGTACGACAAAATCAGCCGCAAACTCGAGGTCCGCAATCCATGTATACGGGCCAAGCTGTACTCCGGTCACCTCGATCGAATACTGGTGAATAGCTTGCAGTATAGCATGGATTTCATGAAGTATGTGAGCGATGCAATTTTCCTAACGGGTTCCTCCCTGAGTCTGCGTCTATCGGAAACTTCCTTCACCAGGTCGCTGTGTTCCCATGACTGTCGCTGACCAAGGGGTTCTTAATCCCTTCGTGCATTGAGACGCCCAGGTGATCATGACCCCCAAAGTAAAGTATGAATGGCTTTTAATTGGCCAGTCACATCGGCTTTTGTCTAGAACACGTCTCAAGTTTTTTCGAGACCGAAATGAACAGCCTGAAGCCCACCAAATCATGTTAGTATCACCGATGTTAGTTCACGATTGATTGTTTGTCGCTGCACTATACGACTTATTCGCAGTTGACGTTTTTCCAAGCAAGTATTTTCTGTTTACAATTGTGAAGACCCAAATGGTGGTACACAGCTCAGTTCGCTCGCTGGTCTCTGTGTGTATTTGAGTGTTCTTGCTCCCTTGGGAAACGTTTTATTTGATGGAGCCGAACTGTGAAACCTTTTCTTACCTGCGTGTATCTAGTTGCTCAGAGAAAAATTGTGTCAATAGACTTTGTTGGTGTGCCATAGAAAACACCCACTAGATATGAGGTGTTAATTTCGGACAGAATTAAACACAGGTCTGCATCTCTAACCCACTTAACACAATTCGCGCGAACGCTTTGTTCACTTCATTGATGTGATTCGTATTTCCGGATTCATTCGAAGCTCAGGTTCATGTTTAATTATACATTCGCAATTGGTCATTGTTGATCCTTTCATTTGTTTTATGACTTTTAAAACGACGAACTCGTTTCAGTGTTATTCCCTATCTGATTTCCCCCTGCATTTTGAATCCAAGGTCATTGCATTGTCCACAGAAATGGCTCGCTCTGCCAAAGTGCTCTGCGAGGCTTGTAGCAGTGTTTCCGCCCAGACTCCAAGTCCCGAGGCTCGTCAACAGCTGAACAATTTGACCCGCGAAACCATGCAGTCGATTACCGCATTGATTCAGCAGCGTGGAAGTATGGCTACCAGTGCGGGAGCCGCTGACGGTGAATGGGCCGAGGCGAATAGACAAACCACATTGGCCAGTGCTCAGGCTGTCAGCTCAAATGTGGCACGCCTGGTTCATCTGCTCACCGCTGGGCCGCAATTTGCCGGTCATGCGGCTCGCGTGACCGATGAGGCACGGGAGGTAAGAGTGATCGTAACTTCGTGCTTTTCCTCCTATGGCTGTCTATACGTACCCATATGACCGTTTTTTATGGAACGATTCGAACAAACTTGGCTAGTACCCGAATGGTCTAAAGGTCGCATTCTGTGGCTTCATACCCTTTGCTTGTCGTAGCAGTGTGCCTTTTTGAAGTCTGATTTAATCTACCACGATCTTTTGTCGAACATGGAGTAATTCCTATGGACTCGCCAACGAGTTATAAGATGTTGGGTATGATATCGAGGCTCGTGACTGCAGAATTTCGTTTAACCTAAGCCGGCTAGAATATAATGATAACAATAATAATAATAATAATAATAATAATAATAATAATAATAGTCAGTGAAGGTTTCTTTCCACATCACCAGTTTCGGTTTTTTTCCAGTTAGTACAACCATTAACCATGCACTTTCGTGCGGCGGTTTCGGTTGCTGTCTGCCCATTTGGATGTGAAGGGGCAGAACAAAGAATGAAAAGTTGAAAGTAGAGTCAAAGAGAAAATAGAGAACTTCAATAAACTAAGGTTACCACCACCACCACCTTGAACATCTATTCACTGACGACAATGTATGGTAAACGTACCAGACGCACCAGAACTGTGAATTCACCCATTCCGATTTTTATAACCTTAACATCCAAACTAATACTGTAATAACTAGGCTTCAGCTGCTCTCCTGTCGGATCTAGCTGACCACAAATTGAGAATGAGCGACCACTTTCCTGACCAATGCAATGCTGTGATGTTCAATTCATTTCCAGTTCGGTCAATCAATAAATAGCCTTGCACTGCCTTGTGAACATATAGATTGCTTTCTTTCGGCTGCCTATCTGGTTGGCGAATGAATGAAGAAGGAGTAAATGGAAGAGTTTGAAGCGAAGAACACGATCCAACCAAAAAAATCCAAAGAAGCAAGTGAATCATATCGTTATATAGAAAGTGAACACGTGCCACGGTTCACAACGGTCAGCCATATTGTTGTGTCTATACCTTTTCAAGTGAATCCGTTGTAACTTCAAGTGAATCCAACCAATCGCATCCCATTGGGAACCCCACAAGAGGATTGGGATTTCGGTCGTCAAACGTCACCGATTGAACCGGGTGTCTAAACCCCGTCCAGTCCGAATTAACTCACTTCTGCGTAATCAAACAAAAGTACTTTTTGGGTGAGTTATCGAGCGAAACCAAGACAAGATCGGTAATCACAACGGACAACACGACACAACCGCACAAAAAGGGAGACGAGGCAGGACGAAAGTTTTGATTGATTTGGCTGTTCTTCCCCNCCCCCCCCCCCCACACCCTGGAACCTTATGTCCGTGATCGTTGATCGGGTGTGCGTCAAAGACGCGAATAAACAAACTCTGCGGCAAGTGATCTCTGTCGGTTGAGTAAAGAAGCGAATCACGTCGAGATGGATCGACAAATCGGTCACCATGCTCATGCGTTAATGTGATCGTGATACATTGCATGAATGGGTTCGGTCTAGGCCCTCAACATCCTAGTGAGTAAATCTCAGTGGGGTCGTGGTTCCCTCGAACAACACGGATTCTTTTCAATCAAATACGATTGCCTACGTAGTTCTGACATTGAAAGACACACTTGACGAGATACTTAGCATGCATAAGCTGATGGGTATGACTATTACAGTTAACTTTTACCCTCAAATCACTCGCCACACAGACCAGAGATGACTTCTTCCTAGTCAGCAATAAAAATGAATCCAACTGTTGATGATTTTTTTGACTAAACTGGAATAAACCCATTGGTTGATAGTTGGTACCATTTGCACCTTAACGAAATGCAAGTGTTACGGCGGATTCATTTGAACTTGAAAGGGTATAGAACCATTCACTAGATTTACCAACATGAACTGATTGATTCCATTGTTATACTTGGTGCCTACAGTCTGGACTGTCACGCGTGTGGAATATAATCCTGGAATAGTTGTCCCCAATCATACCATATAATTAGCTCCAATGTTCTTCCTCTGTGGGTATTCGTGACTGTTTGGTAGCCACGAATTGCCAAAATTCATCCGCGAAAATAATCCATCATCATCCCTTCGAGCTTTTTTCTAATATTGCGCAGCTCTATGCAGTTCCTTGGTTCCACATTTTGTTACAAATCCTGGCAGGCCTGTAACACTCAGCACGGTTGATTTTTTGCACCCCTATTTATTATTTCCGTTCTTTGCTTGTGCTTCGTAGCTCTCATCTCTCTCGTGCTCTCCTCCTAATGATCATCCTTATCTGTGTTTAGTCCCAAGTCCCGGTCTGTACCGCTGGTTTGGCTAGTTTGAATGCGGCTCAATCGGTCCTTCGTGCAGCACAAAATCTGATCACCAGTGCCCGATCTGGACAATCGGAAATGGCCTTTATGGGTTTCTCAAATGCGAGTAAAGACCTATCCGAGAGCATCAAAACCCTGGCCGCGGCAATGCGGTAAGTCGGTCTAGCACGTCTGAGTTTTACATTCGTGTCTCTTCCCGTTTTCGATCCGTAATTTCTTTCGGGTATTGGGTCGAGATGCTACTGTTTTTCTCAAAGCTTTTCACTCATGGTTTTATTGTTTTTTATTGCTAGGTCGTAGGCGTTCGAAGTAATGATAACCTCCTCGTTGAATCTTGCTCTGGTTTCTGGTCCGTGCACATGCGTATATACTCAGATACACACACCCACAGTCGTTCGATCAAAACGCACACTCTTTCGGCCTGGATTCTAGTACAGCCCGGCTGTCGAGATGTGCTTTTGTAGTTATTCGTAAACCGAATGATATTGAGGCTAAAAGCCGTGAGCAAAGGTTGAAAATTCATGAATGAAGGCTGAAAAGCTCGGGGAATAACCCAGTGGATAAACGGAAGTGTTCATGTTCTAGATCACTATTGGGTCGCTTCGGATCTCACCACCACCGTCATCTAACTTTCCCATTTATCTGTACCCTAAGAGCCCTCCCGCCCCCTCCCCCCATTGTGGAAACTGAGTGTCCTTTTTCTATTCAATAAAACTCAGGTGAGAGGTTTTCGTCAGGAATTGTATCAAATAACTTCACGGTGCCTTATTTAGGCAGTGGAAAGTGGTCCAGCTGAACATGAGAAATATTACTAGAAAAAGGAAGGCGTCTGAGAGATCTAGAAATTATTCTGAAGTACTTGGAAGGAAAGCAGATTAGAGATCACTGGTGGGACATATAGCCAATGTCATCAGTTGTGGAGATCAAAACAGCAAATCATTAACTCGCTGTGGATTTGTTCCTTTTTTTCTTTATTATCGCGATTTGCATTCTTCACTTCACCTGTTTTCCACCATCACGACGAGACTGCATCTTGACGTGGTGTGATGGCTTGCGTGCCTCTATGACCCTGCGAGCTACACAGGATGGCTCCTCACAGCCGTAGATCCAATCGTGCCTGAAAGGTCAACGGGTAGAGGCCAAACGAAGCTCAGTCTCACAAAGCCAGCTGCTTGGGCNNNNCCTGGCTTCCCTCTTCTGTCCACACCCGCCCCTGGAGAGGCCACTCCAGGAAATAAACACAGTGAGGGGCAGTTTACCGGTCAAAAAACCCCGCTAGATGGGCGTAAGAGTGGGGTACCTGAGGCTTCCTCTCGACGGTGGGAGAAGTCTTCACACTTCACTGGACAGCTACCGCCCGCCCAAACTGGGCAGCCCTCAGCCAATAAGGTGCTGTTCCGTCCACGTTCCGCTTGTCTCATTGGGTGC